CCCCAAAACCCCAAAACCCCAAAACCCCAAAACCCCAAAACCCCAAAACCCCTCATATTTAGCCAAATATTGAATAATCAGATTTTGACAGTAAACTATTTATTTAAATGACTTCTTCCCTTTAGACTTAACTGCTGCCTTAGTCTTGGTGACCTTGCTTGTGCTCTTCTTTGTCCCCATCTTAAAGAAAGTATCTAACCTCTTCTGGTTAGCTTTGCCCTTGGTCTTTTTAAACTTTTTCAAGGCATTATTAACTGTGACCTCGCTGAAACCCTTCTCTTCTGTTAAGAATTTTGTGAGAGCTTCTTCTTCTGGAGTTCCCCATTTAAATTCTTCTAAATCTTCCTTTTTCGTTACATCTGGTTCGTTAAAAAATGCGCGAGATTCTTTGTAAAGGAATTCTTCTGGGATTTGATATCTTTTCTTTGTTGCTGATTTGGATTTAGTATTTTCCTTTTCTAAAACTTCAAGAACCTCCTCAATTGTCTTATATTGGGTGATATACTTAAATGCTTTTACTGGGCCGATACCTGAGATAGAGCTGGTATAGTCGCATCCTCAAAGAATACAGAGATCAATGAACTCATCCATGCTCATTTCAAATCCTTCTAATACTTTGGAAAGAGTTATTTGCCTAATTGGGTCTTTTCTGTTTCCAAACCCTCTCAAGAGTACAGTTGTTCCAAAAGTTAAAGCATCCATATCCTCTGTTACAGTTGCGAAGGCAAGTTCGTCTTTAACCATCTGAGCACATTGGGCTTCTGCTTCTGAAGGGGCTTCTACCATTGGAATATTGCAAAGTCTGAGCATTTTCTTAGCATCCTCAGTCATCTCAGGTGTAACTCTAATAGATCTCTGAGCCATTTTAGCTGCTTCATCATCCTTTCCTTCTTCCATGAGTTGGTCCATCTTCTCTTTAGCTTCTTTCTTTTTCTCTTTACGCTCTTCAAGTTCTCCAGCCTTAAGTTGGGGAGCTTTACCATCAAATACCCATATTGGCTTAATACCATGATCTAGGAGGGAGAGAGTCCTGTTGAGGATTCCCACTAAATGTCCAGTCAGATTTCCATCCTTATCTCTGAGTTCAGTCACCCCAAAACCTTGTTTCAAGGTCTGTGTGGAGATTAAAAATTGGTAGATACACATCGAAGCATCAATGGCTACTTTCTTTCCAGTGAGGGTGTCAAGTGTGATCTCCTTAACTGCATCTGGAGCTTTTTCGTCAATAAGACTCATTAATTTGTGAATACCCATTTTACCGCAGTTTTTCTATTATTTAATTCCACTGTTTATATTTATAAGGGGTTTTGGGGTTTTGGGGTTTTGGGGTTTTGGGGTTTTGGGG